CACCCGGTCCCTGGCGAGGTCATGGCGCGCTCCCGCGGCGCGGCTCCCCTCCCGGCTCAGGTGCGAGCGAAGAGGCGCTGGAGACGACGGGGTGGGACGCCGAGGGGAGAAGTTGCTCCCTTCGGACCGATTCCACCTTCGGAGGATGTGATGTCACCCGTCGCCCCGCTTTTTGCGGTTGTCACCTTCCAGCCCTGCGAGGGGGCTGGGGCCCTTGGGTAGGAGCCGTCGGGGCAGCCTGGCGGGGCTGGGGCAGCTGAGAACTGCAGGGTTGAGGTTGAAGGAAAGGGCTGGGACACGGCCCTCGGAAATGGCACTTCTGTGGGGGTGGGAGAGTGATGCGAGGTTAGAGGCTTCAAAAACCGAGGGCAGGAGCGAGCAGAAATCAGAGAGAGAGAGAGTCCACTTGGTTTGCCCTCTCAGTGTTTCTAGCGGTTACCTTGGGGCTTGGTCTGCATGAAGGGCATCGAGGGCTGAGAGGGAAGTGGGTTAATGGCTTGCCCACTTCTCTGCACTGGGTCAGGGGAGCCAGGTGTTCACCCAGGAGGGACCGTGGGGCAGGCGGTTCCCCGTGGACCACACCCTGGCTCTCTCCTGGCCTGTCCTCCAGTTGTGAACATTAGTCTCATGAATCTGATAGCAGGACCTGATAGTGTCACTCCTGCACCTCCCATGACCTGCAGGACTGACCCGATGAAAGCTTAACCCAGGCCCAGCTCAGAGGCTTTGAGTGCTGGCTTCCCCCAGCCTCTGCCCAGTTCTTCCCCGGCCCCCACCCCGCAATGCGTTCTCTCTCACAGGCCTTGAGATTGTCTGAACTCCTCTTGCCTTTGCTGTTCCCTGTGCTTGGAAGACTTTCTGCGTCAGCCCTGGGGCCAGCTCCCGGGCTGTGAGACCTGGACCCCATTTCTCTGTATCCCTGGTTCTGGGTGCTGGGAGGGATATGGGTGTAGCCGGGTGAATGCCTGGGTGAGTGCAGGCAGTGTTCCCTCTCTGCCCTGGCACACGTGGCCCCTTCCCCTTTGTCTATTGCTGTCCTGAAACCTTCCAGACCCAGGGGGTACCCTCCTCCCAGTTCTTCGGGGCTTCCAGACCTGCCCACTTTGAACCCTATATTGGGTGCACTTCAGACTGTTGCTTAATTCTGGAGCCAAGCCACTTGGCATTATCTGTTCTATGTGTCCGCCCCACCTGTGAGTTCTGTCTGGTGGGGACCATGTCCCAGATCTCAGCTTGGGCTGAGCTGTGTTTATGAACTGTACTCCCTTTGTGGAATCCTAACAAGTGTTGAATGGACTTTTAAAAAAATGATGTTGATTTCCATGCTCCCCTTCCCCTTCTCAAAGCATCAAGATGCTTACTAAAACATGGAGTTTCTATTTGAAACTGTTTTTAAAGTGTCTTTTAACTTCTCAAAGCACCAAGATGCTTACTAAAACATGGAGCCTTTAACATTTTCTATTTGAAACTGTTTTTAAAGTGTCTTTTAACTTACAAGAATCACATAGTCTTGAAAAGCTTCAGATAATACAAAAAAGAATAGAGGGAAAGTTCTGTCTTAACTTTCCTCATAGTCATCCATTCTCCAGAGAAAATCACTGTTACTTTTGAGTGTGTCCCTCAGATATTATCTGTTCATAGACAGATGTTTATATATTGTTTGAGATACATGCAGTTGTACCATATATATATATATATACAACTTACCTTTTTTATCTAACAGTAGAAGGAAAGGTTTTCATGTAAGCTTATGTAGAGTTACCCCATTCTTCTAAGTGGGTACATTTTCATTTAAGCAGTTTCTCAGTTTTTGTAATTACTAGCAAGGCTGTAGTAGATATAATGTATCTGTATCCTTGAGGACTTGCACCGGTACATGTAACATTTATACATTAAAGATGAGAGAGGTTGGGAAGGAAACCCTTTATAATTATGGTTATGAAAGGGTACACTGAAATGGATCCCCTGGCATACGAGTGTGTGTGTGTGTGTGTGTGTGTGTGTGTGTGTGTGTGTGTCCCTGGGTGTATAGACACAGGGCTGGGCCTTAACTCACGTAAGTGAAAGTAACAGCCAAGTCCAGACAGGCCATGGACGTGGCAATCCTCATTTTAGATAGCAGCTTGCCGTTTTTATTTGTTTATCTAATTTTTTGTTAATCCTCACTGGAGGATACATTTTTTCCATGATTTTTAGAGAGAGTGGAAGGGAGGGGGAGAGACACAGAGAGAGAAACGATGTGAGAGAGACACATCGATTGGTTGCCTCCCTCACACAACCAAGCCGGGCCAGGGATTAAGCCTGCAACCGAGGTAGGTCCAACCGAGGGCCAATGCTCTAACCACTGAGCAACTGGGTAGGGTGCAGCTTGCCATTTTGCCTCTTCTCTGTTCCCACGCAAGGGTGTCAGATGGCCCTGCTGGCCAAAGGATGCAACTGGGGGGATGGTGAAGAGGACGGACAGCTATGAAAGTATTCCTCCTCCAGTGAGGAAGCGTGGAGGGGAGCCAGGGTCCACCTGCAGATATTTGGACGTTGGAAACTATGCCCTTGAGTATGATGATGGTCAGATTTTGGGGTGCAATGCATGAAAATAGAGTAGTCCCCTCTCAGTCTCCAGGAAATAAGACTTGGAGGCCTTCCAGCCTGTGGCTAAGCAGAGCATGAGCCCTGGCAGAGGCAGCCCCCTTTGTACAGAGCGACGGAGGGTGGGGGGGATGCCAAGGCAGCATGTCAAACCCACCAAGGAGGCTTTGTGACCCCAATGATATTTTTCACAGAACGTGGTGGATTTTCAGTGTAACCACAATGACATCCGCTGTGTATCAGGCAGAAGAGCAGATGCAATTGCAAAAGTTTTGGGGGTGCTCGCTTGCGCTGGGGCCAGGTGTGCAGAGGGCTGGATTTGGCCTGCCTCTCGCCTCCAGGTGAGCTCCCACCCCCCACTGCAGCACTCACCCGGGGTGGCGTGAAGAGATGAGAACAGCTGCACTCGCCCAGCAAGCCCCTTATTTTTGAAAAGCATCCAGAGAGAGAGAGAGAGAGTAATCAGTTTCTGTGCTGAATTGAAACAGGTCTTCGTTTTTCTCAAGGTGTTTGTTCTTAAAACATGGAAATAAAATAACTTTAATTTACACAACTTTAAGACATATTCAGAATGCATAACTGGGTGGGGCAGTGGTAGGAAAGTAATCAGGGCTCAGTGTCACAGTCCCTAAGATGCTGACGGACAACCTGGAACCGATGGCTAACTTGCCTGCTGTCTCTCTCCCCTTGCCTAAGGAGATGCTTGTTGGGGCCTACGAAGGCTTTAAAAGGCCTTGCGTTATCTCCGCCATAAATATGTACCTGTCAACTCTATCTCACTTTTGCCACTCCCACTTCCCCCCACCCTGGGAGCCTCCAAGCTCAGGTAGGCTGCTGCCATTTCTTGCCTGGACTTCTGCAATGGTCTCCTAACCGGCCACCCCACTTTTACTCTGGTCCCTTCCATTGCTTCAGGTCCTTTCCAGTGGAAACCCTGTCCTGCCAACCCCCTGCTTCAATCTGCAAGGGCTTCACAGGGCCCTAGGGGAACATGGGGTGGTCCCCAAAGTTGCCCGAAGCTCTGCATGCTCCGCTCTCCAGCCCTAATGCCATCCTTTCTCGCTCGCCTTCTTCATGTGTAGTGGGCGTGGCGTCTTGATGTTTTTGAAAGGGTCCTTTTTCCTTTCCACTTCAATGCCACTGAGCCAGCTATTCTCTGAGCCAGGAACGCCCTCAGCTCTGCTCAGTAAGACCCAGCTCAAGCCTCTGCTCTCTGTGGGGCTCAGCTCCTTGTCCCTCCCCCCACCCCTGTGCGGTACAGACCGCCTGGACCTTGGGCATCCCTGGACTGCAGCACTTATGCTGCATAGCAACGGTTTGTTTGTTCATCCATCTTGATGACCAGACCCCTGGTTTCTCGAGGAAGAGGCCTTGTCTTGCTCATATTTATACAGTGGTGCCTAACAGAGGGCATGGCACCCTCTTGGTCTCGGAGAAACCCTTGTTTGGTAAATGCTAAATGAGAGCAAAAGCAGGTGCAGCAAGCCAGAGGAGGTAGAGATAGTTGACTTCAGGTAAGTGGGGTCATGAAAGGCTTTACAAAGTGTCTGGTTTGGAGGTAAGGTTAGAATTAGGAGAGAGGTTGGTTAGAATGAGGCACTGGACTTGGTCAAGATGGTGCCGATACGATGCTTTAATACATAGTCATGACATGGTTGAAAGAAAAAGAAGGAGGAAGAGGAGAAGGTAGATGCATTAATAGCGTATAAAAGGATATGTAACTCAAATTCGATGTGAATTCACTCCAGAAGAGATGCAAATTATGTAACAGTCTGAACAGAGTTTAAAACAAAGAGAGTAGCATGTAGAAAATGCAGAAATTAAACAGGAACAATTGAAGGATGATAAATATTGAGCATACTGGGAATGAGAACCTTAGCTATAAACATACACTCCACATTGGACATAGTTGAAGGGAGAAAGAGTAAAATGGGAGCTAGCACTGAGGAACTCACAGAGAACGCAACGCAGGGAGGTACACGCAGAAGCAGTGAAGGCAGAGCAGTTTGAGAAGCTGTTGAGATGTGGCTCAGCACTGT